CCCCCCCCCCCCCCGTTCGCGCCGTCTCTGATGCTAGATAATGATATTATAAATCAAGAATGTTCTTTTTGACATATACTGGCTGCCAGAAAAAATACTTTCTGCCAAAATTTAGCCCGCGCACTTCGAAAAGTAATCGGGAACCATGTCTGTAATAATAAAAATATATAATACTATCGTAACTATGGGCTATAATAATAAAATTATACGATGCTGTCATACCTATGGGCTATAATAATAAAAATGGCAGATTTTGATGATTAATTCGAGATTAAATCCTAATTATAATAATTTCTAATTATTTGAAACTAGATTTTTATTACTGATGTGAGTGAGTAGTGGTGAACATAGGCAATCCATCTGTACCAAAAGACTTTCTAATTAGTGCGTCTAAGTGTTAGATTTTTTATATTTTATGTCTGTAATGGGGAGGAGGGGTGGGGTGGGGTACAGGGGAGTCGCAAAAACCTAACAATTCAACTTACACTCACTATCTTCTTTGCAAATATATGTGAGTTCCACAAAACAGAAGACAGAATAAAGAAAGAATTCAGAAAAAACGTTTCTACCTCGCAACAAAGAGGTAACTAATTTTGTCAGACTAGTGATTATTCATATTTATGAGATACTCATTAGTACAGGTTTCATCCTAGGAAAATTGTAATCATCATAAAGAAAATAATGGATTAAATTTTGTTTTTTTTTGTAATCATATATACGGTTACGCTATGCTAAGAAACAACATCATAAGTCTATTTGGTGTAACAAGATGCCAAAGAGAAATGTCATCATGCTTCTATTTTTTAAAGTTAGACGCTCGGTGTGTAATATTCAGAAAAAATAACTAATTTGAATCTATTCATGCATCCCCAATAAAGTATATTATTTTTTATTTAATTAATAAAACGCTTAAAATAAAATGTTTCCTGACATTGAAAATTTATAATATTAGTAGATATTAGAAAATTCTTTATGAATTTCATTTGAAATAGTACGAAGATGTTGACATTTGAAAAATAATCCAAATAATTAATAAAGCCCATAGATAAATGGTAAAATTAAAAAGATATTTAAATTTCGTTTCATTTGAATTGTCTTCTGTTTTACTTGATACTATTGAACAATCATTTAATATTGAGCTATCCTGAAAAATAAAAATAAATTCAAATCAAAAGAATTATAAGTTTATTTACGAAATCGGTGTCATCCTCATTATCGATACGATACAATTGTTCTAATGCAGTATGAAGCATATATTCTACATTACAATGATATGTGAGCCATTGAATATCTTTCTCGGTCATTTACAACCAAGTTTCTAATAGAAAATTGCGCCAAAACTAATTAAGTACCTTCATTTCTAATGATCCATCATTTTCACGATCACAATAAATCTAAAAGGAATGTATTCGTACGAGAGTTCGATTAAACACAGTCGATCACAAGATCTTGTCGATTCCTTTTTTATGATTAGCTCATCGAGCAGACACTAATGACTTTATCTTGTCTTAATTTGAATTGCCATGGCACATTACACATCGTACTAATTTTAAAAGAGGAAGTATGAAATTCAATTTAAATTCGCATTTTAACTGTCAGAAGTCTTTCACTTAATCGTTACTGAACAAAAAGTGAACAAAACCTGTCTTACAATTGGCAAGGATAAAAGTCAGATAGGGACACAGAATTTTCTCTACCAATCGGCCCAAAAATTTTTTAAGAGTGCCACCATTGTTTGCGATTATAATCTATAGTATTTATATGAGATGCCTATAGTTTGACTTCGAATATAAATTGACAACTATTCACAATTCGAAAAAAAATGAAAAAAAAATCGCGACCATTTAAAAACCATTCCAAAGTAAAAGCAAAAGATATCATATAACTAGCAGTGCATTTTAAATTTAGGGATAGGTTTAGATTTTCTTTTTATAAATTGCAAAAATTTATAAATTAGTGGAATCGTTAGTGAGTTTTTTTAACGGCGTATTGGGATACGTATTTTATGTTTAGTCGGAATCCGAATATGGGCATGCAAGTTGAGTGTCAATGTCTCTGTAATTTATCTTGTATTCGATATCGGATATATTAGCTCAGTTACGGTTTGTTGTTAATGTGAAAGTGTACCTTTTTTCGTATGTTAGCTGCATGATGTTAATGCATTTCTGTATTGTGCTTTTCTAGCTTCGTGTTCTCAAAAAATCGTGTACGTAGATATTTTCTGTTTGTCACCGTCAATGCTGTGCTCATGACGTTTCGAGGCTTTTTTCACCTGTGGTATGAGTAAGAGCTATCAGTTCAATTCGTGAGTTGCTTTATTACTATTTACAAAAGCGCCCCTGTTTTTCGAGTCCTTTGTTATAGCATACCCAGGCCCATCTTTCAAACCGCCTGAAAGATGGCATTGAACTGCCTGAAATGGTCAAGAAACGGCGTAATTAATGCCCTAAAAGATGAAAGACGGCCGCCGCTTTTAGCAGTTTTCCGTCAGCTCAGATTACGGGCCGTTTTTTCCGGAACGTTAACGGTGTCGTTCAAGGCTGTTTCCGACGAAAAAAGGTAAGTAATAAGAGTACCCCATTTTCGTCCATTCTGACGTAATCACGCCGTTTTTCACGGTTTTACATGCGACTTATTCTGATCATGAACGGCGGCGGAACAATTTCAATTTAGGAAAGGTTCAAAATTTTTTTTCAGAGGATGAGGATGATGAGAGGTGAAATTAAAAACAAAACAAATCTGGCACTAATAGGTGGTCTGGTAATAATTTACTTCTGATTCTACTTTCTTCAAAACTTGTAAAATAATGAAAAATATTACTGTAATATTTATTTTTCAGAAAAGGATCAATAAGAACGCAAAAATAATAAAACGAATTTCAGGAGAGTAGAGCAAACAAACACAAAGATAAAAGACATTTTCTACTGATCCCTCTAACATACATTTTAAAAATTCATGCGATACTTGTCACCAATCAAGATTCTGCGTCGTATTTGCCTTTTGTTATCGGTTTTTTTGTATCATTTTGTTAATCTTCATGAGCAATAGACTAAGTATTAAAGAACAATTCATCGAAATTTTTGCCAATCTTGCCTACACTAAAGATGAGATCTACAACTCTTTTTTTCAAATTAAATGAGCCTCCCCAAGCCTAATGGGTCCGCCGTCTATGCTGGTCATTTATACTTTTTAAACATTTTAATTGAATAATATTATATATTTATTTTCAAAAGGAAAGGCTACACACAAAATAGCATGAAATAAAACAAAAACCCACCGGAAAAAAATTAAAAGCGCTAATATAATCTAAAAATTAAAAAATAAAAATAAAATAAACAAAATTAAAATTTAACAAATACAAGAATCTAAAATATAAGATAAGAGGAAATGAATAATATACAATAAAAATAAAAATAAAAAAATATAAGAAAAGAAAATGATATAAAATAAGTTGAACGAGTGTCTAAGTAGTTATCTATTTTACCCATATTTATATCTCGAAATAAAACAAATACAAAACGGTAAAAAAAGTTCGCCTTAGAAGGTAGCCGTTTCCGACAACACGGAAGCCGCCACCTAAAAGGCCACCGTTTTTAGCCGTTTACGGGCCGCTCTATTTGACATGTGTAGTCAAACTTCTGTAATCGCCGTTGTTTATTTGAAGATGGAATAATTGTTTTTGGTGTAAATTAGAGAGATGTTATATTCATATTTTCCTGTTTGGTATCGTTCGTAGTATTCAATTTTATTTCTTTATGTATATTGCTAGCTTATTCTGAAAGTTTGGTGTGGATGTGGGTGTGAGAAAAGACGGATATACACGTATACACATACACACAAGTCTATTTATAAATTTTATAATTTATAAAAACTAAATCTTTTTCTGGCAGTGGCGTGAAAACATAAAAGTGGTTCTTTTTTTGCATTTATATTCGAAGTCGAATTAGGCAGCTACTTAGTATTTATATCCTATTTATGGCAGCGATAAAATAGATAGCTAGCGTGAACTGATGAAAAGATATTTGCATTTCAGTACAAAATGAATTTTGCTCATAGCTCAAACTTTATATTATACTTATGGTTTCGTAATAAATAAATCTTTTCGGCTTCCAGAAGAGGTTATTGTGTGGTAGTTCACATGTGTCGCTTTCTCTTCTCAACAAAATAGGCTCTTCGTGACATGTGGAAATGAACATTGATAAATCTTTGACACTTAGACACACTACTATTACGTTGTTATGCTAAGTGTAGAATTTATTTTGAAAAAGAACAGCGTATGTTGAATAGACACTGTCTCGTAGTATAGAAAAATACAGCATTACCCCGGTCGAAGAAAACGATCAGTAAACGGTCGTATACAATACAAATACGGCCCGTTTTACGTGCCGTATTTTCCCCGTATAACAGGGGCAGTAATACGGCCGTATGTTCTATAGAATACGATAATGTTACGCCTGCTTTACGAGGTTTTACGGCTGATATACGGTGTCCATGTACGGCCGTAAGACTGCCCCTGTTAAAACGCCTTAATACGCCTTAATACGGCCGTATTACGGCGGAGTACGATGCAAAAACGACCGTTGACGGTAATATTACGCCGGTTTACGGTGGTTCGTTTTGATCGACCTGGGTATATGGCACTGGCCATGAACATATCATTTATTTCGACTGCTACGTGAAATAATGTTAGTTTAACAGCATCTATCATTAAGTACGCTATTACTGCATGTAATGAGGTCTGCTATGTTTTTATGCTCTAATTGTGCACGTTGGCGTATTTTGGGTTGGTTGATAAACATTTATATATGAACCAAATATAAATTGTATGGCTATTGAGATCTTACGAAACCAACGCAAAACGAATTGAAACTTTCAAAAGTCCTTGAAAGAAATTTATATTAGTTCTACCATCGAAAATAATATCTTACGACTTGATTAATATTCAGTTCTTTCGAGAAACGAAATGATTTGGTTGATATCCATCTGCAATTGAAATTTTAGACTTCACGAGTCACTCCTTATTGAATGATCATCATCATTATCTTTCGATTTTGCATATATGAAACATCAGTCATATTTTCGATATTCGAATTGTTTATCTCGGCGAATTTGCCATCTGGTAGAAACATATTTAGTAAATGAATCAGTCATTGACAAACCATTCTAAGATTTACTAATGTGAAAGATTCAAGTTGATAAGTAAATTTTTTTACAGGAAGATCATCTGAAGATTTTAGTTTCAATTGATTATTTGTCACAGAAATATACTTTAATCTTTTTAGGCGCGCAGAATAATTATTGACGGATATCTCAATGAATCCAATACAGAAAGAAGGCGAAGACAATATCATATTGTGATAGGTGATGAAATTAAAATAGTCAGCGTTGGCGTTGCTAGTCAATTATATCCTTCAAGGTTGCATTCCTCTGTGAGAAAAATGCAACCGAAAAAGAAAGTACAACGAATATTATACAAACAAACCATTTTTCAAGCAATATTCATTTAGGAAAAAAAATGCCGTATGAAACAATTAGAGACGAGGTAATGACTATTATCAATTGGTATTGGTAGGCAGCTGTATGAATGCATTTTTTGGTCAGAGCAAATAAAAGAATGGAATATTTGTCTGCCTGAAACTCTTGATACATTTCGATTACAGATTTTTTTTCACGATCAGTTACTATTTGTAGAGTGAACGCAATGTGCATCGTATAATGGACAGGTTTGGTAAAACATGCTGACTATGTGCACTATGTAGAGCATTAAATGATCTAGTTATATCTGTTTGAAAAATACAATTCTATCTTCCTATCTAATACATTCTCATAGTGCATCATTTTGTTTGATTGAGATTCAATTGTCAAACATATTCTATTGTTTTGAATTGAAACGAGCATCATTCGTAGATCATTTCTTGTATTTAGGACAAATCTCTTGAAACTACGACGATACCGATATGGTTACTTCTAGCCGTTGTATGCATGACCATCGGGCAGTTGATTCATTCGTGCTTGCTAGATACTCGACGTATTCGACCTCACCCGTTACTTGTGAAGAAAGCATCAACTCCTGGAGCATGACTTTATTGGGATCCACAGCTAAGATCGATAGCCAACGATGATACTGTTCAACGTCGGAGTGAAAAAGATTCTTACGAGAAAACGTTGTGCAACTCACAAATGAAGCACGTAAAAAAGGTCGCTACTGCTGTGGTACATGGTATCCAGCCGCAGGTACACTCAAATGAAACGACAAACTGACTGATGCTGCACGTGAACATGCCAATGATATGCATGATAAGGATTACTTCTCTCGTGATAGTGAAGATGAACGAAGTCCTTGGGGTCGAATGGAAGCAGCAGGCTACCCGGTCAATTGCGCTGCTGGCAAAAATATTGCTGGTAACTCGACTCCTGAAAATACAGTTGCTGCCTGACTCAAAAGTGCAGGTCACTGTGTCAACATTATGAATAGTGGGTTTAAAGCACTTGGTGTAGGATATGCTGAAGGTGGTCCATATTCAGGTTATTATGTTCAAAATTTTCATCGATGTTGAACAGTGTGACTTTTGTGTATCACTGTCTTACACTTTCTATCTGCTTTTTATATCTCTAGCTTTACTGATATTTACTCACCATATTTCAGTTTAGTAATTAAAATCACTTCACTAACTTTGACTATCTATATTATTGCATAAATTAATCCCCGAAGCTATTCTCTACTATTTTGTGTCAAAGATAATCGCAAATAAAACGTATGCATATATTTACTTCCGACTGATAATGTGTACTGTTCCTTTTAATCGAGAATGAAATTTAAAACGTTGTGTTTCATGAATGATCTCGAGTTTATTTCGAATTAAAACGTTAAGGATTCTATTTCACAAAACGAGACAAAATTAAAGAATTCGTTTTTCATGATTTATTTTGGTCGAAGTTGCTCATTAACGCATGTATACATCGATTCTTTGTAGCATGCATGTGGATTCGAGCCACAAGCTCTTTCACCTATAGAACAAAGACGACCATTATCACACCAATAAGCATTGCTATCAAATGATTGACCATTGCATGAATTTCCCGATGATGATTGTGTTGTTGTTGGGTTAGGTGGGTTAACTATTGGAGTACCAGATGGACAAAGAATAATTTCATAGTTTGCTTTGTGGCATTGATAAGTACCTTGAAAATAAATTCAACAGAAAATCTAATCGACAGTATTCGTTATTTTTATTCTCACTAGCAAAATCATCGAATTGCCATGAATAAGCATCTGGACATTGCGATTTGAACACTTCATCATATCGTGTATTTTGAGTAGAACGTGGCCACTGTTCAACATAACATTTTCGACCTGGTGTTACATTATCATGAGGAGATACCTTTCATCGTGCACAAACAAATCAACATATTGCTATAATTATTTATCAATAAAATGTATCTTACGCAATAATTTCCATCGCATGAACAACAAACAAGTGAACGTGTATCTGGATTATTATAAATGTTCTGAAGATGCGCATGTCTGGCTCGTTGTTGAGCATTATGAATAGCAGCACAAATACTTGCACAAACTACATGACCATTGCCATCATCCATTTGTAATTCAGGTGGACATCTATTTGCATCAAACACACATGAAGCCTAAAATCGACATATAGGCTTTGAATTCGTATTTCGAGCTACAATAAAAATGCAAGTTTTATCCAATGTCTACATACCGTTCCACAATTGTATTTTCCCAACGATGGATTATTAACCATTGTATATTGACCAGGAATCGGTCTAATCGTCATACCAATTGAATGACCATCAACATTGGATAGATCATAATAATCTGATCCTCCCCATCCATCTAATGTGAATTCAGCTATAGTAGCTGGTGGTTGACCTCCAATACCGTTACATTGTACACCAAATCCATTTAATGGTGCTCCACAATCGCCTAGTCAATGAAAGATCAACATTCAAGATAGTTACTTTTTAAAAGTATCAGTTACCTGTAGCACATGTGAGTTTACCATTCACTGATCGACATCCGGTTCGAGGCCAGATTCGTCCACTTACCTATTGAGTTTAAATCAATAGACTTTAAAGTAAAAGTAAAGTGAATATGAAATAAACAAACCCATCCATCTGGAATACTGAGATCAGCTACTGAACGAGAATTGACTTCAAAACCACCACCATATACCAATGGTTGACCTTGTATACCGAACCATAATTTTTGGTCACAGTTATTTATTACGCGAAATATACGTGCTGACCATACTGTGGAAACAGCACATAGAAAAATAATACTGAATGAAGTTAGTGACATGTCAAATGCGTGTAAATTTTATTTTTTTACTGCGCTTATGTATACGCATATATACTCAATAGAAGAAAGTGATATAACAGAAACAAAATAAAATATTAATCAGTTCTATTTTGCCAATCAATTAAGTACAAAAGGGATCAACGAAGGATCATTTACATATTTTCTTCAGGTATAGAAAAAAAAGAGACGACTACGGAAGGCAAAAATAAAGAGGCTTGGTACTGGTGCAGAACTACATACATTTGTCAATTCATTAGTTTTTTTGCTGATCTTTTCAAGTAAATTTAATCCTATTCAGGTGCAAGAGAAAAATGACAATCCAAAAATATATACCATACATATAAAATATTGCGAAGAAGTTGCTTAGGTGATGTTAGGTTATATTTTTGTGGCATAGTGCTAAGATCCTAACGAATGAGATTCTCACTATTTTTCTTCTATGTTCATTAATTTTAGTTCTTTCTCGAAAGATTCAGCATTGAGTTCTCCACAAAAAAAAGACATCCGATTGGACACCATATGAGTTTTCTATTTTGATAGTTTCATACCAAATTTTATTTTAAAAAATATTCAGCGTTTCATTCGATACAAAACTGAGGATAATGCATACCATATAAAATGACAAGCAAACAAAACAATTAATCTATCAATACGACAAAAATGAAGCTTAGCGAAATGTCTAATACACAGCACAGGGATTCTATATTTATTTGAAACTATTCACATAAATGTTAAGAACGGTACCACCTATGTTGTAGAACTTTAATAATTGTAGTATTACAACAGTAGCTTTCTTTTTGCTTTGTTCCGTAACGTCTATTTGCAAATGACTTTTTCTTTATGGAATTGAAATGTTGAATCTTTCAAAAATAAAATAACTGAAAAGAAACGAAATGAAATGAAATAATGAAAATAATAGAAAAATGATTTTCAATGTTTGAGATTGTTTCGAATGTGATATTTGGAAAGGTAATTAATAAAAACTTCTGTCTTCAAGATGCTTGAGTTATACCAATAGAGTTCGTGCTCGGCCCTCTCCAGTTATTTGGATGGTATTCGTTTAGAATCATTCTAAAAACAATACGACTTGTCGCTAACTCGTTTTTTCTGCCTTATGCAGTATATTTCAGCAATTACATATTCCTATAAACATATTCAAAATGAGTCACTATCAAATTTCAAATCAGTGAGACTACCCATGTGATTCAAACCGGAAAAGGTTGGCGGGCATACCGACGGTTCACCATTCGGTATAATGTGCGCTCTAAAGCCGGTTTTTCATGAAAGTGAGACATCCTTTTGTATAGTATAGAAACGACAGAATATTTTTTAAGTCTGTTAATGCCGGCAGAATCGTGTTGAATTTGATGCACTATGATAGAGTCGATGTGCCTGAGTCGCCTGTAGTAACCACAGATCTCAAGTCAGTCCCATTTATGATATATATATATTTTATTAAAGATTGTGCAAAAATAATAATTCGCAAAATATATTCTAAAATAGTTTTGTTTTCGATTAATTCGAATTCTTTTCTCGTAATAAATAGGGATTTGACAAAAACGGTTTCTGAAAGCCTTTTTAGTTGGGACTGCAGCTTATAAGCGTTACCACCGGTACACAGCCCAAGACTAACAATTCGATAGCTGGATCCAACTGGATTCGATCGGTTGCTGCCGGATTCCAAGTAAATCCGGGTTGTGGACCCACTCACGGATCCCTAGTGTTAGAATTCGATCGATTCTTGCAGGAACTAGTCAAAACTCGATAGGCTTCTTTAGGACCTCGTTGGAATCCGACTCCTGAAATTCCTATCGAATTCGGCTGCTGGATTTGGTCAGATTTTCACTGGATTCCAACACTAGGGATCCATTAGTAGTTTCTCAACCCGAAGTCGCATGGGACTTTGTCGGCTAGTCGAGTTTTATAAGATCCGATCGAATTCGGTATCGGATTCACTCCCCTGGGCGGCGGTCGTGACAAAAAATGTGCTACATGAGTATTGATCATCGTTTACAATATTCTGAGCTATAAAACGACTATCTTTTGTTGATTATAATTGTAAACTGTATCACTCCTGTTTCGTCATTGTTGAATTGTTAAAACAAAATTCATTGCCACACAGTGTTAGAGTTCTACTGGTTCACCAAAATGAATCATTAGTTCAATATACATTACGAATAATCTTCATTCGAATCGAGCAGATTTACAAGCACACTATGATCAGAATATTCTTTAGGATGCATTTTCCCATTACCCATGACGAAGGTGAGCATTCAGATCGCCTTAATACTGACAGAATTCGATCGGAGTAACTGGGAATCCAGTGACCCGGATTCCGATATAAAATCTGACTGAATCTGACTAAGTTTTCACCAAATCCTATCAGTTCTCGCCGAATTCCGATCAAACCCGATTAAATGCGGATTGAATCTCGGGTCACTGGATTTCTTGACCTGGGATCTCAATGAACGTACCTGAACAGATAGGATTGCTTAGAGAACTTAATATCCCTCTGAGCGCTTTTATGTTCATTCAGAAAATATAAAAACAATCACTAGTTCTTTATTTTAAATTGCGTGAAGACGATATAACCAGAGAAATATTTTTATGTTGAAAACATGCGAATACTCACAATATTTTGACATGAATACGACTTTATAGTGAGCATGTTTATAAATAGAATATTTAGAGAAAATATCTTCAACATAGCCTTTCTCTACATGATTTGCCTAATATAGAATAATCAGCGCTCATTATTACGGATTCAACAAGGTTCATCTACAGTTTTCGAAATTTTGAATTTTGTTTTAGTGAAGCTGTGTACTCAAGAATAACTTATTCTTACACTGGCACACACATTGATTCGATACATAGCGCCCTCTTTCGTAAAACGTTGACTTCCTATTAGTCTAGACAATGTTCTATTCTTATTCGTCTGAATATACGAACAGGCAAACATAACATACATATTATTTATTACTTACGTATTGGAAGAAATGTTGTGTGATAAAAACCTTTCTTTCAGAATAGGGGAAAATGCAGAAGTCACTTTATTGTTTACATTCACGAACAAACTGTAAACCATCGTTACTATTGTATTTTTGTAGATAACAGTATTTCCATGCCTAAACCAAGTCGATCAGCCTTTTATTTTTATGCTCTTGATTATCAACGTCGTATCCAGCGTGGTAATGGTCAACGATTGAGTATCAATGAAGCAATAACCGCATGTTATGATGATTGGAAATTATTGTCTGAAGAAGAAAAGGCACCGTTTAAGATATTATATGAAGATTGGCGTATTCATTATCGCTCTGATCCTGAATCGGCTGTTAGTTCTAGTCAACGTTATTTACAAGCAAAAAAGGCTATCAAACAAGAAATAAAAACTGAAAGAATTCTCAGTGAACGTGATATTCCATGTGAAGAATTAAAAATTCATTATGATCGTTTCAGTTTTGAAAGAGATTATTTAGCATTTCAATATTTACCATTAGATATCAATGAATTATTAACAATGCCAATTTATATAATTAATTTTCAAACGTTTTGTAAAGTTGATGAAGAAGACGGAGGGCAATATGTACCTGCAGAAATGTGTATTCTTCGTGTAAGAATTTTTGTCTTTTCGTTGGGTATTATTGTTTTCAGTCATCGTTTCTTTTGTTTTAGTATACATTAGCTGAAGGTCCAACAATACTTCGACAAGCATTTATCAAACCAGATAAAATTCCAACTGGTTATATGTCGGCATGTTTAGAGCATTTGAAAGGAACCCATGAAATACCATTAAAAGATTTTGCTGAAGCAACAGATAATTATACAATGCTTTATCAACAATTAAAATCAATCTTAATACCAAATGCGGTAACGAAACCAAGTAATTTATCTGAAGATGATCGTGTACGTCGACGATATCTTCGTTCAATACAACCATGCATTTTTTTCCCGGCTGTGGAGTATGAACAAACAAGTAAATTATTTGATTGGTTACAAGAAAAAGCTGAAGGTTCGAAAAAAATGAATTTATCATGAGAATAAATATTCATTTTGGCTTTTTTCTGCAGGAATAAAACCAAATAAAGATACACGTCTTGTTAATTTTGCAAGTGTCGAATCATTAATTATGTTATTAGTTGAATTAAAAAAACAACGCATTTCACGAGATGATGTCAATAAAACGTTTGAAAATGCTGCCTACTCATTTATGATTGAAGAGCGTTGTAATTATCATTCACAATTAGGTATAAGTTACTGTTCAGTTGCACGATGTTATGCATCTGCTAAACTTATATCATCCTATTTAAATCAATTATATGCACCGGAAAGGCCTGCATCAACATTGATGACCGGAAAACGACCAGTAAGTTCATTTGCAATGAACTCAGATGCATCATCAATTGGCTCAATGCATAATTTTTCTAATCGATTACAACAACAACAACAACAACCAGCAATACTAGTCAGGTAGCAAGACCTCAGATTTTTTCAGTTGATAGAATTTTGATTGTGACGGAAGTAGATGAAATGCATTCATACAGGCAATGATATTCATAAGAATTTGTTACCAAGGAAGTCGTAGAATAGATTCTTTATAAACTTAAATGAGCTATGAATATCGCCATGGTCTCTTCAAGAAGATTCAGTACAGAGGTAAATCAAGATATCTGAAAATTTTTTGACTAATAACGGTTTAACTATGATATTCATAGACTTGGCTTAAAAGTAATTGAAGAAATTTGACTCAAAGAGTCTTCGAGATAAGACCAACAGAAATATTAGCTTATCATAAGGAAAGATATTTCCCCAATAACTGTGTAGACGAGAAATAGAACAATAAGACCTTTCATAGAGTATTTATAACTGACTGGCAGAAAAAGAAATGATCGTTGGGCTGAACACTTTGAATTATCTATGTTCATTTTGTTTCATTCAAGTTTTCAGAAAATGTTCTCCCCAATTAGCAAAAGATTTTCATCTTTTAGACCGCCAGTACGACCTCAAATAATCTCAAGTCAATATTCTTCAACTGGTACAACTGATTCCATTGCTTCTTCGTATCGTCCAGTGGATCCAAAGAAACAACCAGCTCCATTACGATCACCAACATTTACTGACTCATCATCATCAGCTAAATTTTCCATTGAATCTCAACAGCAACAGGAAATTCAAGTACCCGATGAACTCATTCAACATCCAACTATAATGAAATTACAAAAACAAAATTTTCACCGTTTATTATCCAGCGCTACATCGACAACTTCGTCAATATCGACAGCTAAACAACGAGTTATACAAATAAATTTAGCTGGTAACAATAGCCGAACGACAGCAACAAATGTCGAAATGCAATCAACAGAACAGGCGTCAGATACTCAACGAGCTGTTTTACATCAACGTAAACAAGCATTAATGAAAGCAATTCAAAGTATAAACAAACAAATGGAAGAGCTCGACATGCAGTGATTAAAAAAAATTGTTCAGATAGATTTTGTTATTTCTTTTTGTTTTTTGCTATTTTTGTGAACATAGTTTTGTGTTTTCTTTAGTATAACTTGTGTGTTTTTTGTGTTTGCAAGTCTTTCATCTCAGATGATATTAAGATAGTAAAATTGAACAAAGATGAAGTTAATATGAATAGAAGTATATCATTGTGTTGTTGTGCTTTTTTTAGATGGCACTTTTATTTCGACCAACACTCATTCAATCATTAGCAAAGACAGCACGACCCATGTGGATGTCTATGTCATCAACTGCACGTCGTAATATGTCTTCGCATAATAAAGAAACTGACGCAGAATTCGATCAACGATGGAAAGCTTATTTTGAACGACCAAATATTGATGGTATAGAAAATGATTATCTTTAATGAAAAGTTTATAGCGAATTTTCTTTTACATATGATGAGTTAAACAAATTTTATTTATCCGTTTCTAAATAGATTAAATTGTGGAACATCTTTTTGGTTAGGCAATTGAGCATAACGTGTGCTATGTTAACAGAATAGATTCTCTTCTGACCGATATTTGTTGTGGCTAAAATCAAATTGATTGTTTTTGCTAACTTTCAGGTTGGGATATCCGTCAAGGCATCAATCATATGAATCGTCTTGATCTAATTCCTGAACCCGACATCATATCAGCTTGTCTTAAAGCATGTCGTCGTGTCAATGATCATTCATTGGCTGTTCGTTACTTGGAAGCCATTCGTTATAAATCGAATACAGTTTCAAATCAAGTATGGCCATGGATTCTTCAAGAAATTCGTCCAACTTTAAGCCAATTGGGTCTATCAACACCTGAAGAGTTAGGTTACGATAAACCAGAATTAGCTTTGAAATCGGTTGACGATATGTAGACAGAACAAACCAAATATCAATCCATAAACTTGTTTCTTTTTTCCATCTAGCTTACGATCACTGATTGTACCTTTCTTTTTTTCCTCACAAAACAAAAAAACTAAACTAAACATCAACTGTGTCCTGTCCTAATTCTTTAATGAATAAAGTTTAGATTAAAAACAACAAAATCTTAAAGTTTTCTTTTCATTGTAGATATGCCTTTTTCATTACCAATTCAAGTTATTTCACAATGGCTGCTACTATTCCAACGAATTTTTATGTTTATTCTAACTGGGAAATCTGTGCTAGAACGAATTATAGCAAATCGTAAAATCTCGTTTCCGTTACGTGTTTATCAAATTAAAAATTCAATTAATTTTACTTCATCAAAAAGTCTTGATTATGAAATTAACCAAATGAAAATCGATAGAAAGAAATCCTTGATTCATGATCAATTGTATACTGTCATACATAAATTAGAATTATATCAAAAATTAATTAATCAAATAGATAAAATAAGAAAGACGCAAGTGACATCAACCGACGCAGAACATCTCGATTTATTCGAGAAGATATGGTCACGTCTTGTTACTCAATCGAATGATGATCATGAGCCAATGAGTACGATTTCAAAACGTTGGACAAAAATTGGTTTTCAAGTAGGAAGAGAACAAATCGAAAAATTGTTTTAAATTAAAAAAAATTTTTTTTTCTAGGGTCCGAATCCTCTTACCGATTTTCGAGGTAAATATCTATTCGAAGAAGATTTACTTCGATTGATCACGTGCTTAACTTTGATGTAAAAGGAAAATTGTATAGTCATTAATCAATGAGAGTCTTCACTTAATTTGTTGTTTTGATCTAACTGATAGTTGGTATTAGATTGTAAAAAGTTTATTCGCACCAATCAGCTATTGTATGCAACAATCTTTGCTTGCCTCATGCCGAAGTTTTATTACTCTAGCAGTTGGCAGTCTCCGTGAATAGGTAAAAAATAGTCTGATCGAACATAAAAGTACTTGAGAAATAAAATGTTGAACAAAGCCACAAACTTGTTTTCCTTTTACCATGTCCACATTCAAGGATATCTTTTATTTGAGTATCCTTGAATGAAAAATAGTAAATACATATACTTCTAAGACAAAAATTTCAAACCTTCGATCTTGCCGTAGCTAGTCATGACCTCAATAGGTAAATTATTCTAGTATAATTGTTATTTCTATCATAATTTCATAGGTATGGGTGTTCTGGGTCTTCAATCTATTGAATATTTATCTCGTGATGAGTCAACATGTTTAACCTATGTTAACATTCGGCCACCCAATGATTATTCATTTGCTATAGGCGTCATAAATGCTGTTTCGTGGCTTGTTGCTTTAGTTGAAATTGAATCGTCCAAGAATGATATTTCTCATCCATTATTAACATATTTTTCTGTTCATCCCTGTAATCTTAATGAATTTTTCCGATTATTTTCACTTGTTTTTAATGAATGGCATCAATTTTGGATTGATCAAAAAGCGGATATTATGCAATTTGAACAGTTATCAAAACGTTTTCGTGCTCAAATGCTGGTTGAATGTCAACAAGGACGACCTTTACAACAAGGATTTTCGAAACGAATCCCTAAACAATAATTTATAAATGAATCATTAAAAAAGTCGTCTTGTTTCATTCATTGTCTTTGTTTTTTTTAGTAATTTCAAAATATGACAAAGAGAATTTTCTAATATCCATAAATATTTTCACAGAGAAGAAATTCAATTGTGATTCTCTATATACTTGACTCATCCTCGTATCGTTTCTCACGGAATTCTCTTGATCTATTTCTTTCGTTCAGTATTGCGCATTATTTTTTCGTGCAAGCAAAATCCATCACGCAATTACCTTCTAAGTGTTCTTTCGTTGAAATGAAAATGAGTTAAATTTACAAATTGAGTCATCGGTATGTTTTTCATTGCACAATCAGATTGTCATTTGTTTTCATTCCTCCCTGATGTTTTTTTCTTTTTCTTCTCAGTCAACTTTATCTATGAAAAAGAAATCATAGAGAGCATAGAAAAAAGGAAAACAAACGTGAACAAAATTTATTTCATAACAAACAAAATTCTTCGTACCTGCTAATCCCAAACACATTCTATGTCATCATTTACTATCGAGAATATCTATGGTATTGGATCATTTCGATTGTGTGCAGGCTTTCCATCATCTATTAAATCAACTGAAAATTTAAATTCTCACATTTACGAATCACCATTAAATGGATGTATACAAATTTATAATTATTCAACAAATGAACGTTCTCATTTTGAACATGTTTACGATGATATTACTGTTGTTATGCTTTACAATGAATATACCGATCGAATTTTAACATGTTCATACTCAGGTAAATTAATTATCTGGTCAAGTAATTATCAAAAACGTTTTGTTGAACAACAAACTCGAATAAATCACATCCATTACGGCTGTTGGACACGTGATGGTACAACGATTTATCTTTGTTCTCGATTCGATGGTAAATTATTTTATTTAGGTAATTAAAAAAATAATTTTTTTTAAATTTAGGTACACTTTTATCCCTGTCTTATGATTCTAAACATCACTCAGTAACGGAAAATTGGCTTCGACATTGGGCAACAACAAAAGCTGATTTAGAAAAAGTGCATCCAATTATAGAAGATTCTCCGTCGTCATTAAATATAGCGGAGAAAATTGAAACATCAAATACGTACGTTGCTGGTTCGATTGGTTATGAATTTGTTACATGTACAGCTGTGCGTCGTCATTTATTTGCTGTACTCCAACGACCACAAGAACATGTTCGTGTACATGAACTCAATTTTCGTAATGGCCATCTGATTAACGATCTGAAATTAGAAAAAGCTAAAGCAAGTCAAACATTTCTATGCGGTACAACAACTACACTTCTTGATAAAAACACTGGAAAAGAATTTTTCGCTATTGGACTTCAATCGGGTTTAATTTTTATTATTGATACAAATCCATTACGAGTTCATACTATCATAAATGGTAAATATGGCTTTTCTTGAAGTACACATTTGAAAATGAAACAAAAGTATTTAGAAAACTAAGCAATAAAACAAAATGAATTTCATGTTTACTTGTTCGACTGATTTTCCGAGTTACAGCTTGACCTATAAGCAATTCTTGGCATATCCTGAGAGTTTCGGATAAAAAAAAAGAAACTTAATTTATTGAGGTATTAAATTTCTAACAAATAGACTTTTTGAATGTGAATTGAATTTACTTAGAAATTCAATATCTCGACAAATAAACCTTCTTTTCTAGCGCTATTACGTATTATATATAAGTAAACTGGTAATGCTTCAGTCCTGGATACCCGTGAGTTAAACAGGAAATCAAGTAGTTTGCTTAATATTTCGAGTACGAAAGTAAAATGATGGTTAATGTAGAATTGAGGTAAGATTTTTTACATCAACTTTTTCACAGTTCACAAAAGAATTTATTGTTGACATTTGAATTTTTTTCACTATTAAATAGCTTCTGGATCCCCACAAGCGATTATCTGGTGGCATTCCTATTTGTTAACAGTTGGTTATATATCGTCGATTGTAAATGTCTACTCATTAGACGGTGCACTTTTGGCTTCTGGCGAAGGTGCGCCAACAACTGCTGTTTGTCATTTACAATGGAATTCTGATGAACAAGATTTACTATGGATTGGTGGTTATATGGGTTTGACACTTGTACATATGGAATTATTTTTTAGTCGCCCACCTTCACCAATTGACAAAGTTATATTTACAATATTAAACACAATCGTCGACGAAACATCATCGTCCGTTAGTTTAACAACAATACTAAGTAGATCGTTACATGAAACAGCTGGCTGCGGTTTATATATGGACAAAGATGAAATATTGTCAGGTGATCTTTCGGGAAACATTTTTCGATGGGCAATAAATAATGATACGAAACCCAAAGGACATATTGTTATACCTGATAGTGTTCGATGTTTTGTATCGAACAATTTGGTTGGCACATTATCCGGCGTATTATATCAAATCGATACGCAGGAAGTTATTGAAGATTTTGCAGTGTCAATCATTTGTTCGGCATGGAATAAAAGGAAAACATCTTGTTTGATTGGTCTGGGTGATGGAAAATTGATAGATTTACATACAAAAAGAATCATTGGTTTACATGAAAATAATGCCGAAATATGGAGTGTTTGTTTGAGTCCCAATGAAGAACTATGTGCGACGGCTTCGGAAGATCAAACAACATGCATATGGAAAGTTGATGGTGAACAAAATCTAATCGCCACTCTTACAGGACACACAACAGCAGTAACAGCTGTCGATTGGAAACATGAACGAATTTATACATGTGCTGATGATCGATCCGTACGAATTTATAGCACTCAATCAAATGCATACAATTGTCTTTACGTATTGAATACGCCGAAATCTCTGTTCGGCTGGTTTACATTGACATATTTACGAGTCGATGAAGATCAAAAATTAATAATTTGTACAACACAAAATGGCTATTTAGTTATATGGCGTGATGACGAAACGAATGTTAATGGAATACCAATTTTATGTAAAAAAATTCATTTCGGAAGTTTAGAAGGTTTAGCGTATGATAAAGACACTCATCGTGTAGTAACGATCAGCAGTGATTGTACAGTGACTTCACTTCGTTTACATACGGACTGATGTCTATTTTTTTTCGCTTTCATTTAAAGATCATACTTTTCTTTTTTTTTCTGTTTATCTTTTGACCTTATTTCAGATAATAGGAAGAGAAAAGTAAAATAAATATGTCCACACGAAAAACGTCGGACCGTGAAAAAAATGAAAAAATACGTCAATTGCGTGAAGTAACGGGCGTTACTGAACAACAAGCACGATCAGCACTACAATCGAATGATTGGGCTGTTGATCGTGCTATCAATGCATTCTATGAAGAATCAGCTTATTCTTCGAATACTGGTAGTTCACATCATTCATCCCATCATAGCCAAACGTCGTCATCATCATCGTCGTCTTCATCATTATCGAGATTTGATCGAAAAAAAATCGAACAACTATGGCCAACTTATGCCGATCCACGTGATACAAGTAAAATGAATTTAGATCAATTATTACGATTTATCAGTGACCTAAAATTCGATCCAAGTGACCGAGAAATTCTAATTTTTTGTTGGAAAATGAATGCTTCTAAACAAGGAGAATTACAGCGCAATGAATTTCTACACGGCTGCCAAGATTTGCAATGTGATACACTAGATAAATTACGTGAAAAAATTAAACAACTTAATAGCGAAGTCGAAACTGATAATGAAAAATTCAAACAATTGTATATCTACACATTTAATTTTGCACGTTCATCAACATCTATGAAAAATCTTGACGTACAGCCTGGTATGTAAATTTCACTAGATCATGCCGATAGAACTTAATTCAGATGTGGGCACAGGTAGAAGCTATAGTAGCAGTTGCAAGAATAACGACATCTCTAGAAAACTAACAAGAAGTACATGTAAAATATTGACTGCACTTGCAGAAATAGCTTGTTTTTTTCTTGAAGAGAGACTAGCAGAAATCTATCGTTCACCTAGTACCTTTGAGAGAGCTAATAATGAAATTTCAACCTAAGACAATGAATTCTTTCACATTTCTATTGATGTTGACTTGTTGACGACATATCATTTTGATTGACAAGTTAGACTTGGAAATATATGTTCGTTGATTTTTTAATTGTACACAGGAAATCAGCAAGTAGACTTAACAAGAATAGTTTTTATACCATATCCCATACCAATGGATATGGGTGATGTAAAGCCAACGCTTTTATTTTTACTTCATATCACGATAAGAATAGTGAACTAGATAAAACAATATTTGAAATTGATTTCATGTTTCTATATTTTCAAGAAAAAATATTTCTATTGCATACAGAAAAAACTTATCCGAAAAATGTTCTTTTAATCGTAGAAAACTCGACGAGTCGCCGATTGAAAAAGATTATGCTCTTCTAATCTTTATTATATCGTTTCAACGAATGAAAAAAAGAATCCGACTTAAAAGGCGAAGCGTACTGATTTTCATTGTACTAGATAAGAAAACAATAAAATTTTCTCGGCTATCATGTCTAGTGTGCTTGCACTCTACAAGAATCTTTTAAAATCCATGAAAAAAAAACAAATTTTATTTGTGTTTCACAAAATACACTTGAGACTTGAATTTTTTTATCATTCAACTAAATAACTCTATTCGTGTCAGGCATTCTGTAGATTCCTAATGCGATACATCAAATGAGTATCATCTGATATAATTTAAAGTCATTTGTAGTTTGCTAGCTTTTAAAATAGGATTCGATATTATTCTATTATAGATTTGTTTCGGCCTTAATATTGACGTATTATTTATATATATTAAAGACATGAAATATTCTTAGTTTTGAAAATATCGCTCGAGAAATTAATACTATGCTTTCTTATGATGAACCAAAAGCATTCTCACATGGATAAGTTCAATTATAATGGATCGTGAGCAACCGACAGGATGATCTTTTTTTATAGAAGAAATAAGTTAAGTCAAACAGAATGAAAAATTCTGTGTCAATTGAGTTTTCTACTTCTAAGCCGTTTTAGCTATGATCAATCAGAAATAAAACAATATTTTCTACTTGGCCTAGAAAGATTTACATTCAATCGCGTACCTATCTTGAAATTTATCAAACGATGGAATATAGCTAGTAGAATGTCTCTTATCTCTGAAAAAAATATGTTTTTCAATTGAGTTCAAAAGAGCCGCGAATGGACATTAAAGAGAAAAATATCCCGATGTACTTCTAATCATTTTTTAGTAGATCTTTGTTAATTTTCAATGAAATTCTCTTCAACATTTTTTTTTCTGATGTGGATGATTTTCTTGAAATTGTCTATCTTATCTAAAAATTATATTCTATGACTTCAGGAAAATCATTATGATTGCAATTTACATGTAAAATAGTGTATCACCGCAGTCTATCCTATTTGTCGCAGATCTAAAAGTGAAAATTTCGTGTGGGAACATGATCTCTCGTTGTCGAAGAGAGTAGCTAATTAGTATTGAAGAATTTCGTTGGGAATATTATTGTCTGACTTTACTTGACTGAAATATGTAAATTTTACACATGACCGACTCAAATCTACAGACCGTAGACTCATAAAATCTCATTTCAGTAAATAAATTGCTTCCTTGCTGTAATTCTGAGGGGTTAAACAAAACGACGACGCAGTAAGTTATCTCGTCAATAGCTCGAACAAGTCAATCTTATTTTGGCCAGCAACCTCTGCTATATACAGTTTAATAATTTAAGCCGGCTGAGATTACACTATTAGCTTTTTCATCGCTATTAATAGAAGGGTTTAATTTTAACAGATTAAGCAGTAGTTCATTCATGCATATTTATAGCCATACGTAGATTTTTATATTACTATGGACTTTGTATTTTGATTCGAGCAACTAAACTGAGATATTATTCTAAGTGACTGGCTGTTGATCTTTTTAATGTACGCACGCATTCCATTCATTACGATTGAGAAAATGTTTAGCTTTTCTGCGACTCTAGTCATAATAAAAAAGCTGAGGAATTTTTATAATGTTCAGCTGTATAACTCTTGATTAATTGTGTGTGAGAATGTCTGTCGAAAAATGATTGCTCAAAGTACAATTTGCGTAATGTTGACATGTAAAGGTTTTCGTAAAATACTTCAAGTATACAATCGTTCACATCAGTTAGATTTTAAGCAACGCTGAAAAATGAACGTTCTAACTTAACTTTTTCTAATTTAAAATATTCAAAACAAATTTCGTTTCCTTGTTTTAATAGGTTCAAATTTCTATATATTAAGTGTCTTGCACAAATCTGAAGATTGTTTATTGAATAGAAACGCTTATCTTGGAAAGTTATTCCAAAACGGAAATTGATTATATTTCTTTTATAAATTAGATTATGTTTGCATGACTTAATGTTTTTAATTAGATCTATAGAAGTTCATAATAGAAATTGTATTGAATCGTTTGACCCTTTACAATTCAATGAGTTTGATTAAAAATTAGTTTAACATTATTCTATGAAGTCATTTCTATCATTAAGAAGATAAAAATAGAGATTCAATTAATAATGATTCAGAAATTAAGATAATCAAGTTCTCAGAGTTTTTTTTGCTCCTATGTTCGTCAAAAAAGAACGCACTAAATGCGTCTTTGAAAAAAAAGAAAAAATCAATCCACTTTGAAACATACTGATTTATAATCATATAATAAGGACACAACTGTATTGCACTGTTTAGCTATGGCATATTGGAAAATGTTATTTTGTGGAAATCCTAATAATAAGCAATTTCAAAGATTTAAGCTACTTGATTTATGGCTTAAATTTCTTGAAGAACGTTCTAACCAACGATCGATTACAAAAGATACGTGGGATTTATTACTTGATTTTTCAACAACAATTAAATCGGATTTTTCTAATTATGATCACGATGGTGCTTGGCCAACGTATGTCATCAATTAGAAATCGTTATTTTTATTGTCTAATTTTAATCTTCCAAATTTTAGGTTAATCGATGATTTCGTCGAATATGTTAAAACATCACAAAGTCAATCGTCTTCTGTCAATGTTTAATTTTCTACTTTAAAAATAAAGAAAATAAACCAGTGATTTCAATAAAGACATAATCATGCAAAGTTTCGTCATTGATTCTTTGTTAATTAGCACTTCTTCTTTTTTTTTCTCTTCTGAAAAATTCATATATTGACTGAAACCTTTTTTTTTCGATGGTTCATATGTCTGTGTGTCTGTGTGTGAATTTTTTTATAACAAGATGCAAAACAAAATATAGGACATTAAGGTCTCTTGTATTTCGATTACTTTTACAGTTACTATATTTTAGATATCGGTTTTCCATGCTTGGTTACTCATGTGGAAGTTTTATCTAAACTCATTTACACTTATCAAAAAAAAAGGAAATTGCTTTCCGGGATATCGTATGTTGTTAAAATAATTACTCTATGTATATATATTTGATAGCTTTGCTGGTATAATTAGGAAAGTTTACCCTGGGTGCTCTTTATAATTTTACCTTTCATGATAACATACGTTTTTTAATCTGGTCCCCTAACTCTCCCGTGCATGTTCCTGTTTACAGTGTCATTGATGCTTATGATTGTTCTTCGCATAAGTGGACTGGCTAATTTTTATTGTATTTTCGTCTACAACATGACAGCTAGTCACGAGAAAAGCAAAAATGAAGCAAAACGAGAAAATGATGATCGCCGATGAATTCGCCATTTTTTAACTGATTTTGTTATTGACCGACATTAGACGCAATTCATTTGTAGATATGAGAGAGATAAAGAGAGCGAGAGAGAAAAGAAAGGATAAAAATCAATGGATGTTATAGTATATTTAGAATATTCTGCAGTCACACACATACACAACTATTCATTTCCGAATCGCTTGTGAAATTCGTCGAATGTTATTGATTGATCACCGTCGATATCGAAGAAATTAAAAAGATGTCGATCACTAAGACTTGATTGTCTTTCGGTTAATGCACGCCCGAAACGTGGTCGGCCAATGATGGAATAATATTCATGTATCTTGAAAAAGAAATTTAATCAGTTTACTACATAAAAAAAAACCCTGGAAAACTAAAGACATACGAGTTGTAGATACTGTTTGAGCTCTTCGCGAGAACTAAATTTATCTGGCCGTGTTGGTGGAGCTATGTAATAGAGAATTTAAAATCAAGCACTATTCTCTAGTGTAAATTTTACTTACGAGGAACATCAGAAAATGTAGTAAGTGTATGAGCCATTTGAATAGAAATAAAAATAAATATAATCCATGACATGCGATTCCCTATGTTATGTTTGGTTAACAATTCCATCATGGTTATGATTTTTTAACTTGTTGAATATAAGCAATGGAATTTATGTGTTAATATGATTTATAAGGATAAATAGTTTTTGTCTATCCACGTCAGAAACCGAAAGAAAATGAATAGGAATATAATAGCGTTTCTTCTAGATGAGAGAGTAAAAAAAAAGTAGAGGTGTATTAATTTCTGATTGTTTAGGTGAGAGAAAAAAAAGAAAATGACCATTTTTCATGCATACTTAAGTTATCATTTCTGAAGGACTTTTCAATTTTTTTCTTTATTTTTCTTCATGTGCTTAATGATGATTATGTGTGACCTTTAAAGTAATTATATTTAACCTAAAAACATCAACTATAGTTAATCACACATTCTGTAGGCGTTCAGATAGAATAATATTTATTTATTTATTTGATTTCTTGCAAACCCCTGCGGTTTTATTAATATATTTTAATTTTGCCGGGCATAATTAAACTCGCAGGAGAAATGTTATTTCTAACTATGTTAATAATTAAAGAACATAGTGAGTTAAGATCAATATTTTACTCCTTTCAATATCGTTTTGACAGATAGACTATGTAATTTTTATACACTCAAGCAATAACACGAAAAGTTATATCCATAAATTATAAAGGAAAATGCATATCTATGATAATCTAACTGAACTGTATGGGTCATACAATAAGTCCATGAAAATCTTCCAAATCTAGGTCATTATGAAAACTTTCAAAGAGTTACTCTTCAGTTTCAGATTATCCCAATAGCTAATAATGTCCTTTAGTTCATTACGAAGTGTCCGTTCCATTTTGTCGCATCAAAAATATTTACGCTACTTTCAACAACAACAAAGATGTCTAGTTACCGTTACTGATGAATATCGTGGAGTAAGCAAATCACGCTCATCTCTTAAAGGAGTTGAATTACTTCGAAATCCTGCATTGAATAAAGTGAATAAAATTTAAAAACAAAAAAGACACATCTTTCATCCCAATTGCTTTAAATTAGGGAATGGCATTTACTCTCGAAGAACGGCAACATATGGGTATTCACGGTCTTTTACCACCCGCTGTTCTTTCTCAAGACGTTCAAACACTTCGTGTGATGATTAATTTTCGTCGACTGAATGGTAACTGGATTTTTAATAGAACCTAAATTTTATTTCAACTAATTCTTGCTTTTGTCTGCTAGATGATCTCGATCGTTATTCAGAATTAATGAATCTATCGGATCGAAACGAAAAATTATTTTATCGAGTAATTGCAGGTAGATCAGATATATTCATTATTTTTATAAATAATTTTGTAATATTTATTTGTATTTAAAAGATAATATTGAAGAAATTATACCAATTGTTTATACACCAACAGGTATGCAGTATTTTGCTCTACAAAGAGTAGTGAATTTAAGACATAATTTTACCATTATTGTCTAGTTGGTCTTGCTTGTCAAAAATATGGTTTAGTATTTAAACGCCCGCGAGGTTTATTTATTACAATACATGACAAAGGTCACATCTATGACATACTGTGTAATTGGACAGAACAACAAGTGAAAGCAATAGTAGTCACAGATGGCGAACGCATTTTAGGTTTAGGTGATTTAGGTGCATTTGGCATGGGTATACCAGTTGGTAAATTGCAATTATATACGGGTAAAGCATTGCTTAGTTCGCCTATTCTCTATTTTTCGTTTGTTCTAAATAATAACAAAGGATGATTTTTATATTTATTGAAGAAAAAAAAGTATACTCAAAAAAGTAATTAATTTTGTGAAATTCTTTAATATTATATTAATACCAACTCTCCTATTGTATGCCATTGGCTTAAAGTGAATGTGGAAGTATATCGAATTTTATACGCTTAATTTTCACATACACCATTGACGAAACGGTATAATCAGTACAAAAAAAAAGATTTCAAATAGTAATATTTTAATTCGTTTAATGACATTTAAATAACTATCTATATTTACACCTAAAGTATGTGACGTGAATGTATGAATTGACGATAGAAGGGGTAAATTCTTATTTGTATTTGATTCGGTTGTTTTGTATCAATCGTGTTCCTATTGACACAGATAGTGTTGGTGCTATGTCGATGATTTCTTTCACCACCCTAAATTCCTATTTTTTATTTCTTACCTAAGCCTTTTCTATGTTCGTTTTCACAAAAAATAAATAATGCTGGATATCATATCAAAATCTACCGTATATATCTCGTATGGAAATAGAAATAAACAAATGTTGATAATCTCATGATTTTATTTTAGCTATTGCTGGTATTCCACCACAACATTGTTTACCAATTATGCTTGATGTTGGAACAAATAATCAAGTAAATACAACATTATTCTAAGTCTAACGAGCCAAGTCTATCGATTGATTAATTATTTTCGAATCAGAACTATGTAATAGTATCACTGAGTAATGTTTAAATCAACGCTATTTAAGTTTTAGCTCTGGAAAATTCTATGCGATAGGACCCGATGAAAAAATTTGAAACTAAACTATTCTCGTTTTGTTAGTTGTCTTAGAGTAGAATTTCAAATAGAAACAAGAATATTAGCATTTATGAGCAGGACTATGAAATTGAATGAAACATTATGATACGTCCAGTACAAAAAGCTACGATCCTCAAAAAAGTTCAGAGTATTTATAGATCATTAGGAATTGTATTGCGGATATGCTTAGGTCTGACCAAAAGTTCTGCCATTTAAAAAAAATTAAAGAAAAAGAGAAAGTTCGAACTTTATTTTATTGAATGTTGATGATAGCTGCCATGGTTATATATACCAAGTTGATTCCTTTCTAACAATTTGTTAAAAGTTTTTTGAACTAATTTTCGAAAAAAATTTTGACTATCTTAAATGCCAAATGGGCTAATCATATTTCATTGTTTTTAAAATTTAGTTAAATGTTATTCGATCATGGCAGTTGCGTTCTAGCACTACTAGTGATGGGATATGGATTTATTTTAGATAGGTTAGTCATAAGTCATCTGGTGTTAGCTGGTTCATCGAAGATGAATCGCCAAAGGCTATTGTTCATGAAGGCAGATTTTAATCAAAACTTGGTTTAGTATATTCTTTAAGTCAAATAGTCCTCAGTGTAGATAACGGCAAGATTGTAGGTCACAAGTATTATATTGAAAATTGTCCGAAGTCTTTTGTTACTGAAATATGGAAACAAACAGAGATATCAGGGCTAAAATGTACAAAACTGCTTGGCGATCATCGTTGACTCCATACTCATCCAATGTTATTAATTAGGTGACAGAAAAAGGAATCAATATCATGTCATATCTATCATATTCGCCAGGCCTGATACTATGTAATTTTTGCCTAACCAATTCTATTGAACGTAGTTTAACTAATTAAATAAATGAAATATGATTAGTTCATGTGGTATCCAAGTTACCTAAATTTTTTTCGAAAGAGTTCAAAAAAGCTTGTAACAAATTGTTAGAAAAGATTCAACTTGATATATATAATCATGGTAACTATCATCAACATTTAATAAAATAAAACTCGAACTTTCTCTGTTTCTTTATTTTTTTTTTGAATTGCAGAACTTTTGGTCAGACCTAAGTAGTTTTGACTGAAACGAAATTATTAATTTGAAGATTTGCTATTAAGAAAATAGATTTATTAGATTACCGTTTTGTTTTCTTTTAAGGAAATCTCATCAAATCCTCTTTATATTGGATTAAGACAAAAGCGGGTTACTGGTAAAGAATATGATGAATTTATTGATGAATTTATGGAAGCTGTTGTACAACGGTAAATTAACTTGTTGAAACGTTGACGGTATTGTAAAATATAATTCATTTTCATTCTAGTTTTGGATGGGATTGTCTTATCCAATTTGAAGATTTTGCTAGTCATAATGCATATCGATTACTTGAACGTTATCAAAAACAATATTGCACATTCAATGATGATATTCAAGGTTTGATAATTCGCAATTTACTAAATTAAAAACAACATATTTATTCTAATTTTAGGAACAGCTGCTGTTGTTCTTGCTGGGCTTTTTGGTGCGCTTCGTATTACAAATACAAAATTAGTTGATAATACATATCTTTTTGTTGGAGCTGGTCAAGTATGTTAACATAAAAGGTGTTTTTCCTATGGAAAATATTTGAATCAATTTTAGGCTGCATGTGGTATTGCTGATTTGTTAGCACATGCAATGATGCGTGAAGGTGCTACACAAGAAGAAGCAGCTAGCAGGATTTGGATGTATGATGTTCATGGTCTTATTGTTGAAGTAGGTTTTTTTTGTTTGGATTATTTAGTAAATAGAATATATTGATGCTGCTGATAATTAATTTATCATGAGATTCTAGACGAACGGTAGTTTGAGTTTTTGCTAGGATTTTTGTGGAGACTATCTTCAGGATGATTTTGATTATTTAATTAATAATGTAAATTTTTAGGGTCGACCACAAGGAGATTTAGAAGGTCCAAAATCTGCCTATATGAAGAAAGGTAAATCAGTGAAAGATCTTAATGCAGTTGTTGATTATGTTAAACCGAGTGTACTTGTTGGTATGTAAGATTTATGTAATCAAAAAAAACAATAACGAATTATGTTTTTTTCAGGTGCTAGCGGAGCCGGTCGTCTTTTTCATGAAGCTGTTCTTAAGAAAATGGGTGAAATCAACGAGCGTCCTGTCATTTTTGCTTTGTACAGTTATTTCTATATGAACTAGACATGTTTATCGATTGATTTTTATTAATAGATCAAATCCAACTAGTCGTGCAGAATGCACAGCTGAAGAAGCTTACCGTGAAACAGAAGTAGGCGATCCTTCCTGTACTCAATATTTATGTATATATATTTGTTTTAAAATATTTCTTTTAGGGACGATGTATTTTCGCATCTGGCAGTCCATTTAAACCGGTTGTTTATAAAGATAAAACATTTTATCCAGGTAAGCTATTTTTTGTAATAAAAATGATCAAAATCTATTTACAAAAATTTCCATAGGTCAAGGCAATAACGCATATATTTTCCCAGCAGTTTCTCTAGCTACTATTGCTTGTGCCGCTCGCCATGTCGAAGAAGATATGTTTTTAATCGCAGCTCAGGTAAATAGAAATTCATTTTTCAATCACTCAGATGAATATTTGAAGTAATTTCTTTATACAGAATTAGATTCGAGAATGTGTTGTTGTTTTTGTTAGACGTTTGATTGAGCATAAAAAAATCATGAAAATTTCAGTTTCATATCAGTCAAAGATTTATTCACAACTCATGAAATCTAACTCACCAATTTATTTTAATTCCAGTAAAATTTTTTATAGAATCTACTATGCCTCTAAATCTCTTGAAAAAAAAGAATGAATAAATTTTATTTAGCTATTCTACTGATTCGATATTTACCTGTTTATAGTTCTTGTTAATGTCGTATCTTTTATTTATTTAGCAACTTGGGTCACTAGTAAGTCAAGCAGATTTGGATGCCGGTCGTGTCTATCCACCTGTACCAGCAATACATGAAGTTACAGTTAAAATAGCAGCACATCTAGCTGAACATCTTTATGAGACTAAAAAAGCTTGGAATTATCCAGGTAAAATCGAACTTATTCTTATCTCTTTTGCGCGTTAATTTTCAATTTTATTTATAAAAACAACTATTTAGAGCCTAGTGACAAAGAAGAATTTATTCGCATGCAATTATACGACACATCTTATGAATATTTTGGTCCTAAAACATGGAAATGGCCTGAACAACATAGTAGCGCACGAAATGTTCCTTCTATGGATGAGGATGTCTGTTTAGAATCATAATTTTACACGGAGAATGATCTCAAATATATATTTTTTATTATCTTTGGAGTCGTCTTTTGTTTATTGTAAAGATAATCGAGCGTGTAGTACAGTTTTATCCTAGTATAATTTATCTTCTACCAATACCCAGTGCATGATCTCATCAAATTATTTAACGTAAATAAAATAAATACTCGAAAGAAACAAATGTGTTTAGAATATCTTATCATCACATGAAAGGTATTGGACTGAAGGCTGATAATTCGTTGTAGCGAAATACTAACTATTGAGTAGACCTAATTTCTCAACACGAGATTAATTATATCTAGTCTATATATTTTTGTTACGTAAGATGCTATTGAATTAATCATCACGAAGACAGAAAACGAATGCTATATGATAAACAGAGTTATGTTGCCTTGAGCACTTTTTCATCAATTCGAAAGTATCAGTATAATAATTGTACAGAAGCAGTCTTCTGTTCACCGATTCTAACTGCATTCTGTCAGCCATCCAATAGGCACCATAGACCGAAACGAACCAAAAAACATCCGGCTGGACTCGACTCGACTCGGTTTCGATCTATGATTCTCTCCTGCAACAGTTTTCTATCAGCCAATAAAGAGCAACATGCAGCTATGCAATTCGTTCAATATGCGATGGAGAAAAGCACAGGTGTAATGTGTGTCATTTTTAACATTACAATCGATTCTAGTAAAATATCAACTTCGAATAATCCGTTTGCCATAATCAATAGTAACACTAGTATTTCAACAGAAAACGAAATTCTCTTCATTATGTATACGATTTTTCGTGTCAGCGAAATTAAGCAGATGGTCAACAATAGTCGTCTCTGGGAAGTTGAATTACCTATCAGCGGTGAACAGGATTAACAACTTGACTCTGTCACTCGCCGCAGGAAAGAGAAGATCCATGGCGATGGTTCGTATCGAATGGGTAATCTATTCCTTGAATTGAGTAGCTTTAATCAAGTCGAAGTAATTTACAATGAATTATTGACGAGTATTTCAAATGATAATGATAAAGCTGAAGTACATTATCAGATAGGATTAGTTAAGTACGGCCAATGTGATTACAAAGAGGCAGCTTCATTTTACGAAAAGTCGCTCAAAATCAAACAAAAGACTGTTTCAGAAGATGATCCTTCATTGACTATAAATCATCAACATTTCTTGGCCTATAAAGAAACATTTAATAAGATTAAAGCAAATATTTGAACTGTTTTTCTCTCTAGTTTGCTCAATAAAACCGCTTTCATATTGCTAGTTACTAGTTCGGCTTCTTTTTCGCACTCTTGAATTGCATATGATGATTTTGGGATCGATGTAGATATAGATATAACAAGCAAATGTTGCCTTCTACACATATGAAAATTACAAGTTCAACATAGTAGTTGTTCTTTCATTTATCCGTGATGTATTATTTGATATTTATTGTTCATTGAGCAGTCTTTGTTTTTATTCTCTTATGAATAGATGAGCTGACTCATTGAACTAAGAAAGTCACTTTTCAATTAATGGTACTCTATGATTAGGTTGTTACATGATCACGCAGAACAATGTTACATGTAGTACGTTATTTATTCTGGTCTAATTTTGTTTTCTTTCAGCTATTTTACTATACGTATGATGTCATAACATTTTTCATTGATTGTTCTCTTTATTAATAATTCGATAGCTGTATCGTTGAGACAACATTCATTTTAGTAGCAATATACTTATTTCTTTTTTTTTATTACATTAAATGTTTTTTCCCTCTTTATCATCATCCAAATACAAAATACTTTGCTTGGATAAACTCATTCTCTGGCAATCCATTGGGTGAAAAGTCATTAAACTCAGAAACTAGCTTTTTATCTATAGAACTATGGCCATATTAAGGAAGATACTAGCAGATCTTCTTTAATTTTTAAAGAAAGGAAAATAATACAAAACTAACTACTCTAATTCGATAAAGTCTCATTTGTAAAGGCTCCATCATAATTTTTATTTCAATGTTTCAAACTTTCGCGCAAGGAAATACGCAGATATTAAACGAATACTCATACTAGATATAAAGATTAACATCTAATCAATGATATTAAAAAAAAGAGATAATGCAGGATACTCAAAATTAGAAAATTTGTAAATGAACCAAGGGGAGAAGCTGAAGTTTTGATTGCGCAAAGATTGACCAATGATTGTCAATCATTGCTTTGATTGCAATCAGTTCTCCCTTTGGTCGAATCCGTGTTTTTCTGAACCCTGAAAGGTTCTTCCGCCTGACACACGGGAAGATCCTTTACAGAATCGGTAGAATACCTACTTTTTCAGAGTGTACCTTTCAAACACCATGTAATAAACACACATCGAAATTCCAACGAAATAAAAAAGTTTAAGAATACACTTTCACAGCAGACTCTCATATGCACTACATCTTACTCTTTCTCTTTCAGATGATAGAACAATTAGTAACTACTGCTGCAGCCAACACATACGACAATCGTTTGTTCACCAATGTCTTGTGGATGTTCTTCTTGAAAATTCACAATAGATAAGTCATCTGAAGAGCCCCTTAGCAGAGACGAGACTGGCCGTGACAGCTTCTTCACACCCACACCTCTGCCAAAAAACGAAACAGAATCGATGAGCCTTTTTACAACATACGAATGGAGTTTCTTCATTGAATCCTTGTAGGTTCTTGTGTAGATTGCTAATTGCGCCAACAAAATGATATCAAGATAGCTACTGCTAACGCTCTTATATGTATACTTAACAAAAAAAACTAAAATAGTATATAATAGTATCTGTTCATATATATTCTCGATGTATTTTATTATTATAAATTGATTTAGAAAAAAACAAGCATGATTTCACTCGAAAAGGAATATCAACAGTAACATTCAATTGATTTTCTAAGAACATTCATAAAAAATTGGACTAGAAAAATTCTTGTTTAAATTGATTTTCAGTATAATGTGAAGTTGATATTGAACAATAATGAATCAATACCTATATAGAAACCTAGTTCATACGTCCATCGGTATCGATACTGGAGCAAGAAGTAATCGCATAATTCAAACGTTCATACATGATTTCTTTAGTTGAATATGCAGGCAAGTGAAGAGTGAAGGTACATGTATACGATTCTAGAAAAAAAATCATAAAATTCAATTCATTATTAAAATAGAATTCACAACATTTGTCTGAGTTTTATGGCAAAAATGATAGAGTACAGTTTCACTACACGGTACTTTAATAGCTTGTGACCTTGAATTCCAGTAAGACTTAATATTTTTTGTTGTTATTGATGGCTACCTATAGAGATATTCAACAAGATCTTAAGTTTTTAACGTCCTGTAGTCGTTTATAATTGCAAAATAATTATATATATATATATCGGACGATAGAAAACTCAATTAAAGATGAGAAAGAAACAAAACAAATTCTGTTAAATGATTACTAGAAGAAACAATTGATTGTGCGCTGATTGCTTCCATCGAACCAAATATAAAATCAGGAATATTTTCTCTACAATATCATTTCTAACAACTTTTTCATCTTCCAAAACTACGATGCTGCTATTCGAGCATAAGAAAATGTCATGTATCTGGAGCTTAATGATTGAAATAAACTTACTAGGAAGAACTTTATCAACATCGCCACTTGTTTGGAGACTTGCTATAGTGAACTTTGTCGCAAAATCTTCATCTCTATACGGCACCGTACTTCGTCCCCAAACAAATATTAAAAATAGTTTTCTCTGTTCTTCAGAAAACATTTCACTAAAAACTGACCAAAATTGCTGAATACGTTGCGAA